GAAACACATAGGGGGTCGTACTTCTACTCTGTTGGGGAGGGGGAGGAGGTAGTATTTGGTCATTGGGAGAGAGGGGTGTAGGTGTTTTTGAGAGAAATTAGTGGTAGAAAGTTAGGGAAGTTTTCCTGATTCACCTGTACCCCCCCCCCCACTCGACGGAAAATTTTTGGGTTCAAAAGTCGGAAAATGGGGGTAATTTGTAGGTAGGATTGGGGACGGGGGGGGGGTTGTACATAAACCACCACTTTACACATCATGATGCTGCACCCTGCCTCCATGTTTGGGAGCAGAGCTACCTTATCCAAAAAGAGGACGGAGCATTAACTGACCACGGGGGGGGGGAGTGCTTTTAAGAGTACTATTTGTGTAAGCAGACCATTTCGTATCTGGCGAGTACATCGATTTTGGTGCCGATCCGTGTAAGTTATTTGATGTACGTGTTTTATTACCCATGTAAAACACCACACGTCTGAAGCAGGTGCTGAACTCTGAAGATGGCAGGATGTCGAACTTTGAAAAATGGGAATTTCGTGTATTTTGGGGTTTTTAAGTCGAACCTTTGGAGTGTTCCACTGATAGTGGGCATTCAGATATCACAAGTCTTCAAGACATCATGATACCTATAGCATAGTTTGCTGCGGACGGTGGGGCGTGTCAGGCGGGATGAGTTTGGCGCGGTGCCAAACCCGTTCTCCACCAGTTGTTAAAGCGAGCAAATGATATGACTGTATCATATCGTTCGTATTACTCGTTTTCTACCACTTTTTGTCGCATGCGTGCTTCAGCAAGAAGGGAGAACGGCTTAGACTTTGTGAACCTCACACTGCCTACACGCCCAACCGTCCGTAGCGAATTAGAGTGTATTTGTTTCTTCAAATATGTTTAGGGCAGTAGTTCGGCTAACGCTCAAAATCCTATCGGCGCTCAGTAGATCACGAAAAGGAACCGAAGCACCAAAACTGGGAAATATGTCCACCATTTGTTTACACGCTGAGCACACGCTCCGCACGGCGCCGTTCAGTTCAATGGCATACAATCATCAATGTAAGCTAATGTATCAGCTTGTTGTGATCAAGCTCTCATTTCCTGTTTCTTTTGCTTTCATTTCCTCCCCCTCTTTTATTTGCTCGTGGTTCATATATTCTATCTGTTGCATGCATTGTATTAGTTTATCACAAATTCTAGGTCGAACTGATTGTCTTCGAAGTGCCATCGTGCACGAAACGGTAACGTAGTATGTCATGCATCGGTGTTTCATAACATGAAAGTTGTGTCTTGCTGTTTTATTGGTATCGTTTGATTGATTCGTTTAGAGATATGCTAGGGTTAATGTTGTCTAGCCCTCTTTGTTTTTCTCTTGGTCTATCGCACGCGTTGTTTCCGCCCCGTCATCTTTGTTCATCATTGATTTTATTGTAGTTTCAGAGATTTATGTGGATATATGTTCGTTCAGTTGTTTTCGCATCATTTTGTTCTCCTTTGACAGTATGTGAGTATACTGTATAGACGTCTTGGATCCATGTAGGGTCGCTCGCTGCCTCTATTTTTCAGCGGTGATGATTTGTTGCAGCAGAAATTTCCAATGAATATGGTGATGGAATTTTTTTAGAAGTGTTTATAATTGTGGTCTTAAAACCGAGCTATTCAGTTGCATATGAACTGAAATGTGTTCGAAGCTGTTCCACAACAGTGCATGTCGATGGCAGCGTTCCCAGTGCTTCCTTGGGGATCGTTTTGTGGGTCCATTAGGAGCCTATTGCCATAAATCGTCGTCGTTCTGGCAATTTTCGCTGTAACAAACACAAATTCAAACTATAATCGAATCTATGACGGAAATCTTGTATCATCAATGGCTTTTGCCCGTGAAGCCGCTTTAGTGAGTGGATCGGCCGGATCACCACCCTGGATATCAGCGTGGAGATTGTAATCGTCGTCTAGCATTTCTTTTGCACGAACATACCTGCAATAAGGCAAAAGTTATATTATTAGATGAGTAATACCAGTAGGACTAAAACTCAGCTTATAATCTTTTGAGTTCGGAAAATTGGCGCTATTTACCCTTTCCTGCCCTAGTCATCCGGAATAGGGCCTGTTTATGATCGACTTTTTTTTATTGGATAGACTTGGCTCAAATGTTGTTCCGAGATAGTTTGAGGTTTTGAATACGAGTATCACATTTGATTGGCTTGAAACCTCTCAACGCCCGCGCCTTTGCCGCCTGCGATTTGGGGTATTTTGGCGCTGGCTTCGTTTCTCGAGCACCAGGAGGTTTTGTGCCGAACGGATGTGGTATTCGTGTTCACGATGTCAAACTACTCCTGAAGATATGTTCAAGCGACTTTGGTAGTCTAGGGTAAATTGGCGCGGGCGCCAAGAACTTTGGTCCCGAGTGGGTGCGCTCACAGAGAAAAAAGTGGGCCAATATTTGGCCGTATTCCGGATGATTGGGGCAAGTAAGGGTGAAATGTGCGGAAATATTATGGTAACATCTTGGACTGCCATAGGAGACATAGGCAGTGCTGGAATCTCAAAAGTGGGTAGTAATAATCCTCAGTGATCTTAGGTATGGGTTGTTCGAAAAGTCCTGCGACACTTTGACCAATTTTTCGGACTAAATTTTCAGTCACTAAAAGACATCTCCAATCCACAAGGTAATCACCACTAAGGACTAGGACTAGTGCCCTTCTTTTGCACAGCTTCTCATTTCCATTCTTATAGAACTACGGCAACTATGATAAGAAGAAGAGGTGGACCTCATTTTTGAGTAGACGTCGATTTTCGGAATTTTTGCCTTCTTAAGGATGCGGTAGGGATCAAAAAAGGTAGTAGTTAGAGACTGCTAACTTTGATGAATAAGCTGGGTATGGTCGCATTCTCAGATCAAGATCCACGATCTTTTGGTGTGCCTGATCCTACCATGCGGTCTTCGCATTGCCATGCGGTAAAGAAAAATTGAGTATTTTTGAAGTAATTCAAACGTGACATCATCCATGTTGTGGAGTTGGTTAGAGTGGACTGTAGTCCTGATACCTCTATGCTAGTATCATCAGAGTCACAATGAACCTAACTTTAAATCTTTATCGCCTATGCAACATCTCTTTTGGCTGGCAGATCTACTTTCTGTTTGAGAGATCCTCGAGGAACACTGATGCAAGATTAGTCGACAAGGACCTCATCACTCGGTCTACCAACCACTAATCTGCCCAATTGGGTTCCTCCCATGTTACAAGGAAAAAAAAAACTGCCAAGTTCACGTGTCATTCGGTCATTGACTTGTCAGAGGGGTTCAACTCATGAGGCATCCTTCATAAAAAATTTTTTCCGATAACCGAGACTGCGGAGAAGCATGGCAGTTGTCAGTTAGGTGACGCTAGAAAGTGGGTGAGAACTTACTGTGCGTACGTTCGGCTGCGCCTCAAGAAGCTTGAGTAAAGGGCCGTCATTCTGTGCTGGTGGCTTACCTATACATTGCCTACTCCGAGTTGAATAAGTCCAGCTGGAGCGACGCTGATTGCAAAAAGCGAACTCTCTGCCTATCCGGCAAGCGATCATTCTTCTCAAAGACAACGATAAGTGTTTACGATTCCTCGACTATGGCGGAGTTGCCGTACAGGAACTCATAATATGGGATAGGTCGAAAAGTACCTCGATCTCTGAGGTATTTTTAAGCTTTGAAAACTTCCACGGAGCCATGATATACCCATTTTCAGAAACCCCAGGAGACAGTCTCCACTAATCAGAGATAAAAACATTCAAAATGATTTTTGGTCTTTTTCTAGAATAGTTCAAACAAAGTGTCGCAGGACTTTTCGAACAACCTAATATTTTGCGTTCTCTCGGCGAGACCATGAACCCTGGCCACGCCCCCATCTACTATCGGTCCGTCCGCTGACCAAGGTGATCAGTCAGTGGAGTTTTGCTGAGTTCACGGAAGGTGAGCGGTCCCACCCAGATGGGAGAGAAATGTCGTCGCGAACTGTGTGAGGGACTCTACGCGGTAGAGGGCTACCCTGGCTCGATAGAAGAACATGTATCGCTGTTGCATGCAAGTTTCATTCTCTTCACAGTAAAGAGAGGACTCCTCTCTATATGGAAAGTGATGTGCAGTAGTGCGTACGATACGGCTACAGATGCACATTGGCTTAGGCGTAAACCAGCGGAACTGTCGCTCTTTTTTGGCTTGACAAATGGGAGAGGATGGTTGGACATCTTTGTTCGAATTACGGAAGCTTTCCAACATCCTAGATGGCAGGAAAATTGGGGATAATACCCTCTCCCTTTGTAAGGCTGAGTATCAGTAGGGGCTTGGATTCTGGCTCATTACTACTGGGTCTGCCATCCAGTAATTCGCACATATATTGTTTGATAAAGGTAGCCGATGGGCGCGCAATCCTTACCGGAAAACTCGTCCAGGTCGATTCACTTCCTGATTTATGGTTATATTTCTTGCAAATGTTGAAGAAAAGCTACCCTGGTTCCTTCAAGGCGCACGCCCCTAATGAGTCCTGAGATAAGCCAATAGCCCCCGTGAGCCCGATTATGCGTACCAGCATTCTGGAAGGGTGGGCCCAGCGAGGGGGTCACGGTCGCTGGAGGGAAGGAACCTCTACTTTCCTAGCCATTCAAAATGCTGGCGTCACTCAGAATACAGATCGTTTCTCCAGCAGAGTTGTTTTGAAAAGACTAAATGATCCTGGTGAGCCGATAGACTCCAATGTCCATAAAGGTCTACAAACCTGGTCACATATTCCCTGCCATGAGCGCCTTTGCTGGAATAGTTTGACATCATCGGCGTAGCATGTTCATAAATATCCGGTCGCCATTTCCTCATTAAGTAGATCCATGCCGTTGTCTCCAAGTTGTTTGACATCAAAATCTGAAGGGATTTTTATTGATTCAGAAAGGGAAGATAAAAGAGGAGACTTGCATTTGTATGCTCCTAGCTTTCTTTTCAAGGATAGTTCATGAAATATGACTATTATAACGCTCTGTACTACATGTAAGCAATCGTCATCATCACTTGTACATCCATCAAATCATCATCTTCTTCTTCTTCTTTCCTCTTTTTTAGCGTTTGTCCCGCTCTGGGGCGGGGTCGGCCCTTTTCATTATGCTACGTCACTTTGCCCGATTGGGTGCCTGGTTGGGATGGAGCCAACAACTATCTTCAAGTCCGCGTGCAGCGTGTCTATACATCGCTGTTTGGGGCGTATGGAAGAATGGCGAAATTAGGAGTTTGGACAGAAAAGCTGGATAGAAGTTTTCCTCGCTCCGCGTTCTATATGATTAAGGAGAGCTGGTGAATGCTGGAATCGATCCTATCAACGCCGCCCAAGAGGAACATTGGCGAAATCGAATGGTTACCATTCTTTCCACGGGTTCTCCCAATTTCGATTCTTCGGTTCTCCAACTTAGCACTGGTTTTGAAAAAGGCGAGAAACGTGAGTTACGTGCTCCGATTGGCAAAGCGGGGTAGTTTTGGGTTGTACTGTTCGATCGCTTGAATTCAGGTACTGTTCAAATAATCGTGCAGCTCACCTTTTCTTCCTGCCGCCAGTACAACGTCGGATAGGCTTCCAGGGCATCTAATACTTTCAACTTCACATCATCTACTTCATAGACTTCACCTTGGATTTGCTGAAATGAACCTCTTCTCGGGTGGGCTATAGTCGCCTGGGAAGGTGGTTAGTGACACAAAAAAGAAGAACGAAGCAGAAAAAGATATGCTCGAGGTATCCCATGTAGATCTCCATGCGCAACCGCGCTCGTACGTGCTTAGGCGAAGAAAGAGAGTGGATGGACGAGTTCTCACTTTTAGTGCCAACGCTTTTCTCTGATAAATTCACTCTCACCATACGAAATGTAGAGAATTAGTAGCGGAATAACCGTCATTAGTTGGTTAAAAATGAAAGTTGGGCGTTGCCTTGGTCAGTGGGCGGAGCCGCGGCCCCTCCGCAAGGGGGACACGCTTTCTTGGCGTATTTTCTAGCTGTGACGAAAGCAGTACGTCCATATTTGCATACAGAACTTTACTTTACTTCACTTTTATTAGTATCAGTAATCGGAACTACCAAGAACTACCAACTGTCCTAGGAGGCGTCTGCCCATCAAATGGGCGTGTCTTTGAATCTCTGTTTCCTGCCCTGCGGCATGCTCATCTACGGGAAGGCTGTATTATGGTCGGCTAATTTCTGATTGCGGACTGCATCGCTCAACAGCAAATGGGGCAAAAGAGGGTGGGGGGTGTAGGACATCTGGTTGTGTTCCATGTTCCACGATGCAGCAAGATCCACGCTGCAGCGACGCACAGAAACTAGCTTGCATTTTTCAGCTAGTTGTTCTACCTCTAGCGCTTCTACTTCAAGACATTCAGGTCCTGGTGCGAATGCCGCGCACGTGGATCGCCTGCACTCAGAATCATGAAGATGGTTAAGCGTTTTATGTGACGTTAGCAAGGAAAGCACTAAATTTATGTACGAAATCACTCACATATCCTTTGCCGGGTTCATTTAGTACGAATGGTATATTGTATTTGGAGGCAACAATGAGTGGATATGGCGTTTTTGTCCGTCCCTCTCCAACAAATCGATATCGTCCGTCGGTGTTCGTGAGAACAGCTGCATTCGGTTCGCCTCTTTTCAGCGTGCCATAGACGAACACACGAATCGGAAGGCTGGGAGACATACCTTAATGGGTTCAGCATCACGAAATAGTTACAGGACCACCTTCAAAGGTTTGGAAATCTTTTTGTCCCCGAAATGTTTACTTTTGCGCTAGAAATCAAGATAGTACAGCGTGCTGCAGTGTAGAGCCAGGCACCCGCTAGAGCGCGCTCATACGGATGTATGTCGAATGGCGGGTCTGTCAACTGTCATACTGCTACTGGGACACGAGTGTTGTTGCCCTGTTGCCACCTTTCGGCTCTGCGGCCCATTTTTTTGCACACGGCAACTCGTCCGGGTCGCTCCTCATCTTGATGGCGTACAGATCCTTCCTGCATTGGGGGAAAATGCCTAGCAGAGACGCCGTATTGCGTACTGGTGACTTAACTGCGTATGCGTCTATGCTGGCGTCTTGCCAATGCAGGCTGACCAATTACATAAATATAGATGACGAGAGCTTGGACGAGTTGTTTGGTGCGAAACATAGGCTGAGGAGGCGGGATGGAGTTGACAGTTACGGTCAGAAAACTGGAAAAATCTGCGGAGAGAGGGAGGTGACTCTGCTGGCTCGGCCTTATATCCCTTATATCCTCATTCGTCTCCTTCAAATGTCCTCCTTTGCGGAATAGCCCCTGTTCAAACCAATACCATCGACGCCTTTATCGATTTCCGGCACGCTTCTCATGACCAACTGGAAATATCAGGCGATAGCGACTCTTTATAGACGTGATTCTCGAACACGTTTTGCGCTACTCGGCGATTCCGAGAATTGATTGGAAAACCGGTTATGTGTAGATGCGAACTTGCGTAATGTCTGTAGAGTTGCGTCAAATTGGCGAAATTGTAACGAAGAACATTCATAGACCACTGTACGAATCGATGCTAAAAAAATGATCGCCTGTGGAGGCCCTTTATCAGACGTCTTTATCGAAACGAGCCCCGAAAATTGACTTCGTCGACAGCCCAGAGGTCACTGACGGCTGATAACGATTCCACGTTGGCACTAGAGAGAACAACCTAAAAGAAGTTTGTAGGGCTGTGTTCATACTTGGCGCTCTGGAATAGAGGTATAATGCATGGATTAGACACAGATCGATTGTTTGACTCCGCCCACTGAGGCACCGAGGAATCGTCAGGAAGGATCGGATTTGTACCCAACTGGAGAACCGATGTCCTCTCATCAATACCCTTTTGTCGATGATAAAGTAGTCAGTTTACATCTAATCCTTTTCGTGGGTTCCCCTGTGTTTCCGCAGAGCGGGGTCTTCAAAGTGAATTCGTATCCAGTCCCTTTTTCTGTTTTTATCACATCGGCAGCCCGGTATGCCGTCCCTTTCACAAATCTTCTGATTCTCAGTCCGGTGCTGGATATCAACACGGTCTTAGCAGTTGGAAATGGACTGAGGAGGGCTTAATCAAGATGGGCTAAAAAGGTGTGCTCGGTGTAAATTAATCTGGCCTAAAACTTGAGGGCGATAAAGCTAGCATTCTAAGGAATTCCAGCCAATCATCCGAGACAAAGGTGCTGAAATTCGCCGTTTTTCAATTTTTCGCGACTCCGAGTCGAAGGGCTGAAGTTTGCCGTTTTTCAGTATTTCTCGACGTCGTGACAGCATTCTCTAGTCCTGAACAACAGATTGTCGGGGCGTGTCAGTGTGGTATGGATTTTGGAGCGGCGCCAGGTTCTTCTCTGTCAATTATAGGTCGCCTCATCTGGCAGACTGTTGGAAAGCGAGCTAGCGCGCCAAAATCACACCGACGCCTCGTTGGTCACCTGTTAAGAACTGTTGTACTTCCATTCAGGACCTCAGATTTACTGAACGCGATGTAACTGCGTAGTGACTTGAAAGGAAGCAGCCGATGGACACGTCAGTGTTCTTATTTACCCAGACAAGTCCGTTAGTAATGCACCGTTCCCACTGTGCAGAAGGCTTGCTTGGCTCGGGTGAGAGCCGTCTCGGATTTGATCTCCAGACTGTGCGCGTAGAAAGCGAGCCCTTTGCCATTGCACCACCTCCAACACACAATCAGGGGTAAACCGAAGCTGGTTCGTAACGAAGTTCGGAAGGACGTCTACTTGGCAAGAACTGGCTGCGGGAGTACTGTATTCTAAAGCACGCGCCAAACGGAGTCTCGGAAATCCTTGCTGGGAAACGGATCTAATCCCACACTACTTATCTAGTGTACTATAAATGATTAAAAGCAATCCATACTGAGAAAAAGTGAAGGAAAACACAGAATTGCCAAGAAACGCTAGTTTGAATCGAGCATGCTGGCTCACCACAGAGCGCGATTGCTGCTATTATTATATTGGTGGTCCTCTAAACACAGTACGTAATTAACAATGTACTAAGCAGTATGTCCCACTAGTTTAGAACGGCTCTGTTTTCCAAACATCGAGACTCTTTGTTTTTTGCTGTAGTGAGCGATTTTACCGTACTTTCGGAAATTACTTTTTTCGTAAAGTTATGGTTTCAGATGTTCCCCTCGATTTATGGGTGTGTACGCAGTACTCTGCAAAGTTTCTCAGTGAATGGGACACGTGCAGTGAGTTTAAATTTCCTAATTTTCTAGCGCTTTATTCAACGGAAAACCCTCCTTGAATAGGGAAGTGATATGGATATGCCTAGGTTGTAGAACTAATAATGGAATGAAATTACTGCAATTACTACCGAAGAAGGGGAAGAGCTGGACTACCGTTTCTCGAGAACTTTTGTTTTCAAATTCTCAGTTTTTCCGATATTACATTAGATTTTGTTCATTCGTTTAGGATCACATAGATGATTGCTTTGTTGTCAGGTACGAACCGCTGCTGCGCCATCGGTTTCCAAGGGATTAATGACTCCATCAGAGACGCAAATGCCCGATAAGCTTTTCAGGTACAAATTCGTTTTTTTGTGATTAGGTCATTTTTTATTCATATTTATCGGCACTGTTACATCTACAGTCTATAGGAAGATTATATATAGTAGATGCTTCGGTTAGGTTTATCTATCTTTAGAATTTCTGTTTTCAAAACTCGTTCATTTGTTGCAGTATAGAATTCTGCGAGACAGTCTCTCGATAGTCTTGTGCCTTGTGAGGTGATGAGTTGGAACAGCCTTGTTGTTTGGCCTAACGTTTCGATTTAGTCGTCTTTAGAGGCTGATGATTAGTCCGTTGTCATACAAAAGCGCTAGTTAGATGAAATTAAGCTGGATTACTCATGTTAGATTTTCTGTTATCTACCGCTCTAGTGTGGCAGCGGACTTTCTCGCCCAAACAATGGGAATATTGACCTCTGAAGACGACGATTGAGTTGAAACGTTAGGTAAAATTCAATGAAGTTCCGCCCAACAACAGTATTGCTTTATTCATATTTTATGGGCTTTTTTAGATTTTTCTTCAATACTGCTTGTAGTTTTATTTGTGTGGATTATTCATGAAGCACATCTGTACTGTTAATTGAAGAAATCGAACTATAGTTCCCGTTTTGTTCAAAAGGAACATTTGCAACCATTCGACCGTGTTTCGGACTCTAGGTCCTTCCTCAGGTCCACGAAAAATACTCATGCATGACGTCTGTCTGCAACGAAAGGAGCAGCTAGATCCTAGCAAGCACTGAAAATAACTGAAGTACAGTGCGTAACAAAAGTATGTGGACACCCCAAATTTTGATTTTGCGAAACTGCCTTTGGATATTGCGATCTGAGACCATCACTGTTAAATTCCTCATAAGCGAAAGTATAGGAATGCACTACCTACGAGCACATTGTGAACTACTGAGCAATGATTTATTGTTTTGAAAAAATTTCTTAATAACAAAAGTATGTGGACACTTAACAAAAAACAAAAGTATCATGGAAATTAAAACTTGGTGCTCCCTCCCGCGTTCACTATTACTTCGAACATTCTGTCTGGCATGCTGTGGACAAGATTTGTGATAGTGTCTTCGTCGATTTCCTCCCATGCAGCCACTACCGCCTCCTTGAGGTCTCGCACGCTGTTGTACTGCCGATTGTTCATGTAAATTCGTCGAACCATAATTCCCCACAGGTTTTCGATTGGGTTGCAGTCAGGAGAACATGCCGGCCAATCCATCACTTTGATACCATTGCGTTGGAGCCATTTTATAGTAGAATTTGAAACATGCACGGCGGCGTTGTCCTGCTGCAGCACATGTGTCCTGGGTCGTGGCCCACTCAGAAAAGGCAAGAGGTTGGATTCGAGCACTCCTTGATATTCCTGACTGTTCATACGGCACGATGGGAAGGCGAGCTCTAACTTTCCGCTGGTTCCAAAACCACCCCACACCATCAAAGAGCCGCCTCCGAAATTTCGCCTCGAGAACAGCAATGGATCGCGACGAAGGTCTCTCCAGTAGTGCCGATATCCATCTGGACCGTCGAGATCGGACTTTTTTTCATCGGTGAAGATAACCTAAGAAAGAAAAGCGCATGGGATGTTGCCTTTCTGATTTTACAAATTTCTCAAAAAACTTCACCTTGTCCCACGACGTCGCCATGTTTGCACGCGCGAAGTTCAGTCTCGCCAGCTGGTGTTGGGCAGTCAGGCGAGGAGCTTTCTTCATGGTCTCTCGTGTGATATGCTCATTTGATCGAATATAGCGCCATATCGTCATTTTTGAGACCGGTAGATTCATTGCAGCATGGATCTGTCTCACAGAAAGGGGGGAGTTTGAGGCGACCCGCGCTATTCTTCTGATGTCTTTTGCGGACAAAGATCGAGGACGCCCCGAAATATGTGCTGAATGGTAGCCATCAGGATTCTGGAGGTATTTACCAACGCACGTCGCCGAACGTCCGAGCTGTCTTGCAATTTCTCTATTTGAGTGTCCAGCAGCACTGAGAGCTCGAATCTGAGATTGTTCGTCTTCGGAGAGAGTACTGCCACGACGAGGCATGAGTACAGATTAATGGGGAGCAGAGACGATAGATATGGGTTGCAGATTTGGAGTCAAACTTTGAACTTTCTCAGGTGTCCACATACTTTTGTTATTTTTCAAAACAATAAATAATTGAACAGTAGTTCACAATGTATTCAGAAGTAGTGCATTCC